CCCAGAAAGAATGGCTGCTATCAAGAAATCAACACATAACAAATGCTGGCAGGGGTGTTGGGAGAAAAGAACCCTTCTCCATTGTTGGTAGGAGTGCAGACTGGTGCAACCACTGTGGAAATCAGTATGGAGATACCTCAAAGAACTAGGGCTGGAGGTCCATTTGACCCAGCTATTCCCCTGCTGGGTATCTTCCCCAAATAATTAAAAGAATCATACCACAGGGATATATGTGCCCTTATGTTTATAGCGGCACAGTTTGTAATAGGTAAAACTTGGAAGCAGCCCAAGTGCCTATCAACTGGAAACTGGATAAAGAAGATGTGGTTTTTTAATAAAATGAATACTATTCAGCCATAAAGAATGAGAAACTAGAGACATTTATAGCTAAATGGATGCATATTGAGGCCTTACTCTTAAGTGAAATAGGACACACATATGTAAATACCGAATAGTTTCTCTAGTGTGAGAAACTGAAAGTGTAAATAAGGATTAAAATGAATAATTGATAATTTGAAATAGGAAAAGGTCCAATGGTGTAGGGGTGGTGGGAGGGGAAGGGGAAAGGAAAGGGAAAGGAAAAATTATGAGAAAAGAAAAAAAAATGGAAACGAAATCTATGTGAATAGGGAAGAGTGGAGGGGGTGAAGGGCGCACAGGTAATGGGGAAAAAAATAAGAACTAAGATACATCATGTACAGGTACAAACACCCAATGACAAATGTAAACGTATTGTATACCTAAAATGTACCAATAAAAGAATAAAGAAAAATTATAGTAGATGAATCTATACTGAAATAGAAGTTATTCACAACCTAACGGAACAAATTGCCAAAACTGGGTGCATGGACAGCCCTTCATTATTGTAACAAAATACCTGAGATAAACAAATTAAGAGGAAGGGTTTATTTTGGCTCATGATTTTGGAGATTTTCAGCCAACACTGACTGGCCCCATTGCTTCTTCCTGAGGCAGTGGGGCCATGATGAGAGCGTTTGCCCAGTGCTGTAAGTGGTGGAGTATGAACCTGGTGGCATCCCAAGGCCACGCCCACAGGGGCTTAATCCTCCCGCTAGGCCCCACCTCTTAAAGGCTCCACCATCTCCCTACAGCACTAAGCTGAGGCCCAAGCCTTTATCACCTGCGTCTTTTGGGGACCCATGATTCAGAAGATAGCATTCATTCAGTAAAATTCTTTTTTACTTAAAAAAAATTATCCCTGTATAAGAAAAATTTCTGGAAATATATTAACCAAAGTATTAGTAGTGAGATTTTGGTGGGCATTTTACTTCTTTTTGTTTATCTATAGTTTCTAATTTTTCTGAATGAACTTTTTTTAAACCATTTTGATAAAGGAAAAATAGCTATTTTTAATATTTTCAAGTTCATTTATTCTTTTACTCAGCAGCAAGTCTTGGAATTATTTCTCTGAGTTCTCTCTCATGCTCCCTTATTTTTTTATTTGTTTTGTTTTGCAACAGGATCTCACTATATAGTTCATGCTGGGCTTTAACTCACTATGTAGCCTAGGCTGGCCTCCAACTTGTGATCCTCCTGCCTTACCCTCCCGAGTCCTGAGATTCCAAGCATGTGCCACCATTCCCAGCTCATTTTGATTTTTAAAATAAAATGTACATTTATTACAAGAACAACATGTCCTCTTCATAGCCCTTACATTTTGAACTATCAATGTATTTTGTTTATTGATAACTTCAGTGGAGCGGAAACACTGTAACGTTTCAAGTGTTCATCTTCTCACAGAATTCTTTCCTTAACCTAAATTTGTACTTTAAAAAAGGAACCTACCTCTATCCTTAAAAAAAAAAAAAGTATAATTTTTAAAACAAATCAGGCAAGATCAGATGGTATTTTTCTTACATTCTGTTTTTAAATGTTTCTTATTCACAAATTCTTCCATCTTTTAGAGTGAGGCTAAATTTGTAAATTCCTAGTGACTGTTATGCCATAAATTTCAATAGTGCGCATGCTCAGGAGGAAATGTGCGCGTAAGAAACAGGAAGCCGACCCAGCGCGCCTGCTGCAGTTTGCCTCACGGCCGCCGGGTGGTGCGACTGCTCCACGCCGTGCTTGGTCCCTGATGGAAGGCGAAGCTCTGAAGAGAGAAGTCTCAATTGCAGAATGCTTGGCTGGGAAGGATGCAGCCTGTGCACGCCGGACATTTTATTTAGAAACGGTTCTGCCCGCGTGTGCAACATTTTTTTGCGTCCTTTGACAGCTATGGATTGGATTCGCCAAGGAGAGGTGGGGAAACCTTTGTTGATTTCTTACCCTCCCGTTTTCCTACTCCAGATTTTTAATCAGGAACAATTTTTCTTTATGACCTATTGGCTATTTTCATAGCTGCCATTTTCAAAATTGTAGGACTTACTCCACTAAAGTCAAGAATAGTTACCACTGGACAGGAAGATAGCATGCTCTCCTTTTGGAAAAGTAGAAAATTACATTGCTTCTAGCATGGAATGTCGTCTGGCCTGGAGTGGTGGCGCACTCCTGTAATCTCAGCTAAAGCGGGAGGATCACTGTGAGTCCGAGGCCAGCCTGGTGACATAGTGAGTTCAAGCCCAGGCTGAATGAGACCTTGTCTTTAAAAAAAAAAAAAAAAAAAAAGTCATCTAAGGAATATCACTGTGGGGGCTTGGGGATATAGTTCGGCTGGGCAGCATTTGCCTGGTAAATGTGAGTGCCGGGTTCCATCCCAGAAAGAGACCCCACCCATGAAGATGGAGATCTGGGCTCTGGATGAGTGGTTTTTTGTTTGTTTGTTTTTTCAGACAGGGCTGGCCTCGAATTTGCAGTGATACTCCTGCCTCAGCCTCCGGAATGCTGGGATGACAGGCCTGCGCCACCACACTCGGCTGGGTGAGGGGTCTTGCAAGCTAGGTCTCTGGACCAGAGATAAACATTTGAACTGAATATAATTTAGAAACTTAGCTTCAATTTATATTTGTAGATGCCACTAAATTTGCAGTTTGTTGGGATAAATTTTTCTCCATCCTGCCTTCTTTTCATTTGTTTTTTGTACTCCAAAGCTCTTACTTTCTTCTATGTTCTTATTTTCTGTTGCAGTCTTCCATCCCTGTTTTTTATCTTGTCTTTGCTGTCCTCTTTCATTCACTAGGACCTGTAGACAATTTTTGAATGAAAGTCAATTTTTAAAAAATATTCTATGTTAGCCCTGGATCATTCCATCCCAGAAAAGGAATTCTAAAAGTTACTAAAGTGGCCCAGAGGTTGAAGGACCCCTAAATATGAATACAATTGAATACTTGAACTAGTGTTCACTCTAATTTAATGTTGGCAAAGGAACTGATTATTTATCTGCTTGGGAAACTAATGAATGGTGGAACCAGATGAAAAGAATCTGAATTTAAATAGCAGTGAAATTAGAATGAGAACATAGTTTTGAGTCTACAAACTATAAATAGAGTAATGAAACACAGAATTTGGTGGCGATGACAGAACTCAGAGTGAGAAACTGGAATTTAAATGTCAAATTCACCTTCTCAGGAAGAGCTATCATCACGAGCTGGGGAATGCAGGGCTTTAAATATATTTAGAGAGAAAAAGAAGAAGTGATACAGGATCTTGGATATGAGGTTTGGGAATAAGTGAATACCATGCAATTCACAGTTTTCTGCAGAAGGGGAGAGGAGGAATCCTGTGTGTTGATCAGAGAGAAGGTGAATCTCATTCTGCCAACCAAGATAAACCTACAGAGCCCTGGAAGCTGCCAACTGTCATCTGGCCTTAGGGTGGATCAGATTCCCTTTCTGACTATCACACTTGTCAGTAGTACTAGCTCTGTGGTCAAAAACAAGGTTATTTCCAGTGTGGGAGCCCAAAGGCACACCCACCAGGAGGCTTCCTCCCTTCCAAAGGGCTCTGAGATCAGACTTCAGGGTTTTTTTGTTTTGTTTTTGCTTTTGTTTTCGTTTTCTTGAGACAGGGTCTCCCTGTGTAGTTCAGGCTGGCCTCTAACTCCCAGCAATCGTCTTACCTCAGCTTCCCAAGTGCTGAGATTACAGGAGTGAGCCACCATGCCCAGCTTAAGGGGTTTTTTTTAGTGAGATTTTGTGCTATGATTGGACCTCGAGGGACATCAGCTTGCATTTGGGTTCTGTAAGCCTTGAATGGGGCTAAATTTATAATAGTCTTAATCCATAAATAGAATTATGTTAATAAGTAATTTGGACCCAAATATGTGTTTAAATATTCCTGGATATCTAATCAATTTTTGCAAACATTCAGTTCCCTCCTATTGTAACTTGACTCCATCACTTCTTTTTCTTTTTCTTTTAATCATGAAGAGCTTCCAGAATACCAAAAATCAGAAAGAATAATACAGTGAGCTTCCTGCTACTACTGTTATCCAGCCAGGCTGTCAGTATTTCCCATTATTGGGCCAGGGATTTAGCTTAGTGGTTCCGGTGACTGCCTCACAAGCGCAAGGTCCCGAGTTCAATCCCTGGTACCAAAAAAAAACCCAAACAATATTTCCCATTATTTTCCAGAGCTCTTTACTTAGGCCATTTGAAGAACTTTGAAAATAATTTAGACCTGAGTGAAATCTCTAGTGTCTCCTCACCCAGCCCTCTCTCCAAGTCCTTCTCTAGAAGTCAGTCCACATGAACTTGATGTTTATTTCCGCATGCATGAATTTTTTCGAGTGACCACATCTATATGTGTCCCCAAGCAAAACATAGACCATGAAGGCTTTAACTTTGGGGGAGGGTGGCTGGGAATGGGCACTGAACTCAGGCCATCCTGCATGCTGAGTACAGCCCTACCCCTGAGCTACTTCCCTAACCCACTGTTTCAACTTTTTAGAAAAATACCACTGTACTCTACACAGTATCCTTCAATTTGCTTCTTTTTCTTAACACCATATTTTTAAGATTAATTCATTTTATCACATTCACTATCAATTTTCATTTGTTTTCATTTAGACCTGAAGCTCGGTTTTCCCATATTTTGCTTCCTCTCTGGACAGTTTGACCACACAAAAAAATTTACCATCTGGTGGAGAAAATGAAGAATTGCAGACAATCTTTTGGAAACAGCTATGAATTAATCTCATCTTTTTACCATGAAGAAACTGATTAAGAAAAACAGCATATATTTAGATTTTATTATATTGTTGCTGTTGCTATTATTTGGTGGGTTGATTTTTTTGAGACAGGATCTTGCTATGTAGCCCAGGCTGGCCTTGAACTCAAAATCTTCCTGCTCAGCCTTCTGAGGGCTGGGATTACAGGTGTGCAGTCCCACACCTACCTCTGATTATATAGTTTTTAAAGATGTTGTGAGATACTTAAGTAATTCTCCCAAAGTGTATTGTCTATGTTATGAAGGACAGTGAATGTATTGCTAAGCTGGTGGGCTATAAATAAGAAGAGATCTATCTCATACTAGGATTTACTGGTCCTATGGTCTCATCTTGCTTCTGTTATCCTTGAAAATTTATTTAATTTACTTATCTCTCTGTTTTCTCCTCTCTAAAAATCAATTTGGACTAGACACTCTTGGTGCAAGTTTTCAATGATCTATGAAATAAAAATAATAAAGGCTGAAATTTTATTTTAAGTCATATGTAGGCAAAATTTCACTTTCTATGTGAAGTAAGTTATTATTATAATACATTGATAAAGTGTGTTAGTAAGCTTTGCATCACTGTAACCAAATACCTGACATATACAACGTAAGGGAGGAAAGGTTTATTCTGGCTCATGGTTTTAGAATGTTCAGTCCATGGTCAGCTGGCTCCATTGCTTTTAGGCCTGTGTCGAGACAGAAATATCACGCCTGAAGGAAAGCTGCACAGCTCATGGCAAAGAGAAAGGGAAAGAGCTAGTGAGCAAGGGACCAGGACAAAATACAGTCCCTAAGATCATACCCTAGGGCCAACTCCTTCAATTATACTCCTCCTAAGTTTCCATCACCTCCCAACAATACACCAGACTGTGGTCTCATCAATGGATGCAGCCACTGCTAAAGTTAGAACCTGTCTTAGTTACTTCCTTGTTGCTGGGACAAAGGACCCAACACCCACAAGCTAAAAGAGGAGAGGTTTATTTTGGCTCACAGTGTGTAAAGACTTCAGTCCACAGTGTGGATGGCCGAGGGGCATGGCAGAAGAGGCTTGCTCATGGCATGGCAGCAGGCAGCAGAGAGCAACCAAGGGAGGAGGGAGAGAGACAGACCCTGCCAGGCTCTGACCCCATGACCCATCTCCCTCCTCAGACCAGGCTTCACTCCCCAACATCCCATTTAGCTATAAACTCATCAGTGGGCCAATCCACTGATGGATGTCAGACCTCCATGGTCCAGTCATCTCCCCAAAGCCCCACCTAGCCCATGAGGCTTTGGGGGGACACCTAGATCTAAACCACAACAGAGCTCATGATCCAGTCACCTCCTGGAAGCCCCACCTCTGAACACCGAGACTTTGGGAACAGTTTACATCAAAACCATTCACACAGGGAAAGTGCGTAGTGTTCATGGTTTAGGACAGAGCATATTTAGCTGTTTGAATCGTTATGTAGGATCTAGTTATGATTTTACCTTCCCCACACATTTTGCTCACATCTGTAATCTATCCAGTTCTGAGTCCTTGGGGAGAGCCCCCACCTGATTATGCCATTGGTCTTGTGGGCAAATCAGGCAAGGAGGTGAATCACAAGGAGGCCCCTGTGGGCGTGCTGCGTGGGAATCACTCCCACAGGACGTGGCTGTCACCCTTAATGTTCGTGGGTCTTTTAGCATGGATAGGGCTCTATTATCAAAGTTGCAACCTGCAGAATTCTCCCTCAGTCCCTTCTAAGGCAAAAGCAGTCATTTTAGAGGGTTGTCAAATTTCTCAGCATAGACATAAACCGTGCTTAGTCTAGAAAATACTTGAGTGTGATTAAAAATATATTGTTCCTTATAACAATGCAGGAGCAGGACCGGGGATTTAGCTCAGTGGTTTCGCCGCCTGCTGTGCAAGCGCGAGAACTGGCGTTCAATCCCCGGTACCAAAAGAAAAACCAAAACAATGCAGGAGTTGCCACCTCGACCGCCCCCGCCCTTCCACACAAGTCCTGACTGCTGTCCACACCTGCAAAAGCAACTACAGGAACTCTTCCTTAAATTGTCATCTGCCCTGAAGTAAATGGAAAAGTATGATCTGGGATACAGATGATATTGGTGCTAACACTGGCAAAATAAATCTTGGTGATTGCTCAAGCATCTGATATCTTTCTTACCATGACTCTGTGTGAAAAACATAACTTTATGTGAAAATATATATTATGGATATAAATTTTTATGAAAAAAACGATTCGCTTTTTTTTTTTTTGGTAACGGGGATCAAACTTGGGTCCTTGCGCTTGCGCAGCAGGCAGTGAAACCACTGAGCTAAATCCCCGGCCCAAAAATGATTTGCTTTTGAACAGCCTCACCTGCCTTCTTTTTCACGGAGGAACAACCCATGAAATTGTGATTGCGAAGGGAGTTGCTCTAGATTGTCTTATTTCAAAAGAAACACCGTGGGAAACCATCCTTGTCACATAACCTTTACCACGTTGCTCCATGGCTTCTGCACTCCTAGGAACCACTTACATCATTTGCTGCGGATGGGATAAAATTGAGATGCAGATGAAAACAACCCTGAGATTCCACCTCACCCCGGAAGAATGGCTGCTATCAAGAAATCAACCTATAACAAATGCTGGCGGGGCTGTGGCGAAAGAGGAACCCTGCTCCACTGCTGGTGGGAGTGTAGACTGGTGCAACCACTGTGGAAATCAGTATGGAGATACCTCAAAGAACTAGGACTACAGGTCCCATTTGACCCAGCTATTCCCCTGCTGGGTATCTTCCCCAAAGAATTAAAAGAATCATAGCACAGTGATATATGTGCACCCATGTTCATAGCAGCACAGTTTGGAATATCTAAAACTTGGAAATAGCCCAAGTGCCGATCAACTGGAGACTGGATAAAGAAGATGTTATAAAATGGAGTACTACTCAGTCATAAAGAATGAGAAACTAGAGACATTTATAGCTAAGTAGGTGAACATTGAGGCCACACGCTTAAGTGAAATTATTAGGACACACGTGTAAATACTGAATAGTTTCTCTGGTGTGAAAAACTAAAAGTGTAAATAAGGGTCAAAATGTATAATTAATAATGCGTAATAGGAAGAAAAGGTCTAAAGGAGTAGGGGACGTGGGAGGGGTAGGGGAAGGGGAAAGGAAAAATATAAGAAAAGGAAAAAATGGAAACAAAGTGTTTGTAAATAGGGAGGGATGGAGGAGGTGAAGGGAGGACAGGGGAATGGGGAAAAAATAAGAACCAAGATACATCATGTAAAGGTATAAGATCCCAATGATGAATGTGACTGTATTGTATACCTAAAATGTACCAATAATCTTAATGAAAAAAATTACGTTAAAAATCACAGTAAAGCTATAGGTTTCCTTTGCTGGTCTATGTATTTATTACCCACCCACCCCACTCCACCCATGGAGTTCACAGGTTATATTTACAGAACTGGAGAATTTCTTTTCCTTAGTTCATTCTCATTAATTCTTCTAGGACATTTTTTCACGAAGTAGAATGGGTGGCTCCACTTTATCTGTTAACTGTGTGGAGCAGCTACGAGCCCTACATCAAGGCTCTGCCTAGGCCGATTTCATGGTTGGGTGTAGTCTCTCAATATGGTCAGCCCCCCACTTTCTTCTCTTTCCTGTCTCTCCCAGGGCAGTGAATTGAACCCAGAAGCAATCTACCACTGAGCTCCATCTCCAGCCCTATTTATTTTTATTTTTTGCCCAGGCCCCACTTTTTGTATTTCTTTAGTCTCTTTCCTCCCCCACAGCCAAAAGCTAACTACAGCCACATGATACACCTGGTTGGAATTCTTGGTGAAATGGTAGCCTTTGCTTTTGTCAGTGAGAACTAAGTTCACGTCAATGACATTTTTTTCTCTTTTCTCAATGGTAGATTCTCTCTCTCTCTCTCTCTCTCTCTCTCTCTCTCTCTCTCTCTCTCTCTCTCTCTCTCTCTCTCTCTCTGTCTCTCTCTCCTTTTGCAGTACTGGGGATTGAATCCAGAGCCTTTGCATTGAGCTATATTCCCAGCTCTTTTTTATTTTATTTTGAGACAGGATCTCACTAAGGTACTAAATTGCCCACACTGGGCTCTAACTTATGATCCTCCTGACTCAGTCTCCCAGAAAGCTGGGATCACAGTCATGCACCACCATGCCTGGCTCACAATCTCTTTCTTACATGACACATCCACGTTGTTCTTTTCTCACCTGTGCATTCTTACACCTACTAAGTGCTCCACTCTGATTCTCCCATCCCATTTCCTTTCCCGTGACTCTTTCCCCACACTCAGGAGTCGCCTCTGCTCAGGGCTGCAGGTATTTCTGCCTTAAGCCCGAGGCAGTGTGAGCAGAGGCAGCACTGCCAACCTGTCCAAACCCAGCTACGACTGTGAAAGGCGGAGGAGCAGGTGGAAACAAGCACATCTATGCAGATCTGAGCCAGCCCAGGAGCCTGCTGAGTTGGCCTGGCCCAGAGAGGCAGTGGCAAGTGGGCAGGCAAGGCAGGAGGTGTCACTATACCTGTGTGTCCCCAAAGCAGGACACAGCAGCAGGAAGGAGGAAAGGATTCTCAAAGAAAGAGCACAGGGGAGAAAGCCAGGATCAGGGTCCCTGGGGACCAAGAACAGTGCCTCATCCAAAGCGTCAGGGAAAGGATGGAACTCTGTGCAGTGAGGACAACTGGCCACCTTGGGGTTTGGGTTCATCCATGCATGGCACAGGGAGTGGCAGGAGGCGAGCAGGGAGCTGGCCAGAGGGGCAGAGAGCGGGAAGCTGGAGATCTGGGCCCTAAGTGCAGTGACAGGTGGGGGCAGACAAAGGCAGCCAGGGCTGAGGAATCAGGATGACTGGTGGGGGCACCGTGGCTGTCTGGGCACAGGAGTGAGGGAGAGGGAGGTGCAGGTGAGTAGCAGCTGCAGGGCAGGACAGGGGCCACAGGGAGGCCACGCTGGGCTTTGGCTCAGGGAGGTGGAGGGCACAATAAGCGAGGAAGAAGACCCACTGCAGTAAGTCAAGGTGACAGCCAGTGTGCAGAGAGACAGGACAAGGAAGATGGCCGTGTTGGTGTCCACCTGGGACAGCAAGCATGTGCCCAAATTAAAATGTAAGTCAACATAAGCCAAAATCCCACACTTTGCTAGTGGTGCAGGATCCTTAATGGTATCCACAACGCCTGAGCTCATTCTGGAGCAGGGCTAAGTATATCCCTCAGTCGTGGTCTGGCTACATTCAGGGCAAAACCATGGAGTATAATTTTTAAACTAACACACATTTAATAAGACCTAGGATGTCTTGAAGAGATTTAACTGACAGTGTTGAGATTCATACTACTTTATGTTGAGAATCCACTCTCCAGGAAAATTTATTTCAGTCACATTTTATCTTCCCCTAAACTGTAACTTTAGTGTAAATATCTATGAGGTGTGATTTTAAAAAAACTACTGTACCATGAATGTTTACATTTTAAAAAAAATGATTACAGTAAAAAAATACATTGCTATTGAACCCCCCTTTATATTCCCCTCCTCACTTTGAACACACTTATCCCATCATTCTTGCCACTTTTGTGAGTCAGGGTCTTGCTATGCCATCTAGGTTGGTCTTGAACTCACCATGTAGCCCAGGCTGGCCTCAAACTCAGGGTGATCCTCCTGCCTCAGCCTCTGGAGTGCTGGGATTACAGGCGTGCATCACCTCATCCATCTTTTTCTTGTCACTTTCTGAAGCAGTTCTGAAACCATCTGAATACTAATATAATTATTTTCTTCTCTCAAGAAATTAAAAAGTGTTATTTGTGTCTACACTTACGTGTTAAGACTGAAAATTAAGCATGGGTTAGTCTTTGGCTAATGAACAATTGGCAAGTTCACAATTAGAATTTATAATTCCAGTGTGAAGTTGACTAATTTGTTAGTTTAAAGAGGAGTCAGCCCATAAAAAGGTAAGATTATCTGGATTGTAGCTACAGATCACAAATCTTGTGTCCATTCAGTTTTTTGCCAACAGATAATTAATAACTTTCTTGCAAGCAGGCGTTTAGAAGTGTAAACACAACTCCAGTTGAATCATGTGTTTACTTCCTTATTATGACACTAGAACGTGTTTAGTTATCTATAAGCTGATCCACAGCCTATCCAACAGTATCATGAAAACATAATTTTTAAACGATTTTGTCCAAATTGTCTATCCATCCATCCTAGCAACCAAGCCCCATGTTAGAGTCATTGCTGGCTGAGATATAACAGCTACCCTGGGAATCTTGTCCGAACAGCAAGCTGACTGCTGCTCACAGTCAGATCTGCTCTTTCCCACCCCTGAACGTACACAAAAGATTTTTGTCATTCTTGGCATCGGGCAGCAGCAGCAGTGAGACCTGCCAGCAGAGCTTGGAGGCAGAATGTCCTTCCACCTGTTTCGAGCTGTAAGACAGGCTTCCAAGTGCGGGCTGGATGGGGGGCTGCTTCTTTGAATGGCAGCTGAATGTACCAGCAGGGTCCTTGGCAGCAAGGTCCGGGCACTGAAGCCGGGCATTCAGGAGAGCTAAATGGAGACGAGAAACTCGAGCGAACCGCTTCCTGGAACATTGACAACCTGAATGGGAAATTCAGAATGACCAGATTCACTCTATTCTTAGACCAACCGAGGTCAGAGTTCCAAGACTCTATTTATTCCAAGCTTTCCCTTAAAAACATGCCTGGCAACGTGGAAAGACAATAAAAATACCCCCTTTTCTTTTAGAAAATGTTAACATTGCTTATTGTTTTGTTATGCTCTTGCTTGAGCGTTTTTTTTGCCATCCAGTAGTGACAGCCTTGTACTAGAAATCAAGAGAACTATGATGGAGAAATTCATTTAAAGGAGACAAATAGGGCTGGGGATTTAGCTCAGTGTTTCCGCCGCCTGCCTCGCAAGTGCAAGGTCTGGAGTTCCATCCCTGGTACCAAAAAGAAAAATAAATAAAGGAGACAAATAAAAATGATGTATGTGTACCAATTCCCTAAGATGAATGCAATTTTTATGTATTACAAACACATGCTAATAAAAAAATAAAGGAGGTAAGTGATTTATTCCACATCTCGGTACACTACTGCGGTGAGAGGCGCTGGTGATGCCAGCTTGCTTTTGCAGCTTTCGTTGTCGTCATAACAGGGTTGGGAATAGTGTCCCTAGGTGTGGCAGGAATAATGGCCCAAGTGGAGAAACCCTTACTATCAAGGAGGGATAAATCAACAGCAAAAGGCTGGGCAGAAGTCATAGGGTTTTGTTGATTCCATGTTCCTTGTCTGATGCTTCCTGGACCTCTAGTTTCCAACTCAAAGTCCTCAGAAGTTGAGGAAAGCCCTGACAAGTCTGAGGGGTGGGGTAGACAAAGGACAAAATTTTTCCACTGATTTCAGTTTCTCAGGAAGTTGCAAAGTAATTGTTTGCTTATTCAAAATACAGCCTTAGGGATGACTTTTAGTTAGGAAAAAAAAAAATCAGGAAGATACATTCATTATTATTTAACAAAGATATCTGTTTATAAACAAAATCCCTCAAAACAAGGATTCCACAGAGCAAATCATTTTAACAGAAGCTTTTCAGGCTGGCATGGGTCATGCCTATAATCCCAGCACTTGGGAGGCTGATGCAGGAGGATTACTGTGAGTTCAAGGCCAGCCTATGCTACA